AACTCAGGTTAAAAGGCTCTGAAAGATCCAAGTCATCATTCCTGTTCTGTTTGCATATTTCACATTTTCACTTGTCCTTTCTTGTGGTGAGCGCCGCACTTTCTGCCCTGATTGAGACGTTGTATTCGGTGAGAGAGCTGATGAGACTGACCCGTGCACAATTTAATCTGTAGCATTTAACAGCATTGGAAAGCTGTTTCCCTTATTTTGTATTTACTGTTTGCCTAATACTAAATACTTTAATGTGAAAAAATACTTTTTCACAGTGTGTACATGTATACATTAAACAGTCGTTTCTTCATATTCTGTTGATAGATTTATTTAATACTGAAGGTTTTTGAGACATTTTAAATAACCAGTGCGACACCGACTCTGTCTGTCTTGGTTTCTTTCATATTACTGTGAAATCACTACATGTTAAACATCAACATGCTAGCGTTGTCAATTCAGTTTTTTTCATGTTGTATAATAATCGGAGCCTCTGAAGCAGCTCAAGCTAATTTTACACTGCAGGACACAAACTGATCTTAAGTGGCCTGGAGCAGTGAAACTCCCCTTTCTGCTAGTGTAAAACCATAACATGCATTTAACCCCTGAAATGAATGAACTCAATATAAGGAAAAGAAGTACAATTACAAACAGAGGTCTCTTTTTTCTAATGGCATGCTGCTGTAGCAAATGTAAGAAATCCATCAGCATGACTCTTTGGACAAACAAACAGAAAACGCTGAGATTTCTGCAGTAAATAGTGGAAAAAGGGAGCTTTTCTGGAATTTTATTGTTTGTCTCTAAACATGATTTTTTGATGTTGAATGAATGGGGAAGGTGTTTTTCAGTAGCCAAAGCTGTAAAACTTGTGAAAATACACTTAAAAGTCCAAAATTTATACCTTCCTTAACATTTTCCAAAGCCGTCCTGTTGACTGGAGTCTTTGCTGGGCTGACTGTGGCCCCCGGGCCTTATGTTTGACTCCCCTGCTCTAAAGCTTAAACAAGATAAATTTTATCAGATTCTGCAAATACTTTGTTTGCTCTCTTGGAGAGGAAACACTGGCAGCATGTTGTCTCCTCTGCTTAACAAAACTTTCAAAGCTCTTAAAATCCTTCCTCCCTGCTCCTAACAGGTTTCCACCTGAACTCTTCTGGGGGCAAGGATGCTTTGGGAATAACATTTATCTTTACCAGGATTTACTATTCTAACTTTCGGGGGGAATTCTTAGAAAAGATCATGATTAATAGTGTTTTTCTTAGAATTTCATCAATAGGAAGCTTTGTGAGCCTCCCTGTCCCTGAGCACAACTTTACCACCTTAAAACCTGAAGTTAATGAAATCTGATAAGACAAGCAGAACAATGGGCCCATTAATGGACACTCAAGCCCGAGTAAGTGCGTGTTTTCTCTTCTCAGAAGGGGCGTTTAACACGTTTAGGGTCAAATCATCTGTTTTTTTATTTGTTTTATTTTTCACTTTTACTCCTGGTGCTCACAGTGCTTATGTCCTTCATTGACCCTGTCTCCACCTTTATTTCTACCTTTCTTATTTTGTTTTTATGGAAGAAGCTTTAAAGTTGTTAAAGTCTTCTTACTCTTTACTAGCGGCTCAAGTTCAACCAAAGAAATACTTAAACTCGAACGTTTCTGCTACATTTATATTTTGGATATCAGTACAAAACACACAGGATTCAGAGCTTTGTTTCTATATCAGATATACATGCTTTATTGGTGTTTCTGTGATGTGTACTCAGGTTTGGAAAAGCCCTCTGGTCGTCACCGCAGAGCTGTTATATCTGTGAGGAGAAAAGTAGCAAAGATTTTATTTTATTTTAAGTAAATCGTCCAAAAATTTATTGTCATAGGTGGTTACAGCTGGCCTTTTCTCAGTCAGTCTCTGTGGGGTTTCACCTGGAGAAGTGGGAGGAGCAATGAGCGGGCAGTCCTGTCTGGCTGAACGGAGGTGAGGAGGAGGAAGAGGTGGTTCTGTAGGCGGAGTCCTGGCTGTGGCAGAGACGTTCTCGACCACAGAAACACAAAGACTCCTCAAGAGGAACCACAGGGATCCCCACCAGAGCTGCGTTCTGAGCAATCATACCGTAGTTAACAAAAAGTGAGAAAATCAGTTTAGTTCACTGACATAAAAATACAAACCGACTTTTAGGAAAAGGGGAAATGAAACTGAATCAACGGGAAAAAGACATTTACATGACTTTCACAACAAGCCCAAGGAAGCTTTTGCTTACTGAGACTGCATCATATACATGCCTGCGTTTATACTTTATACTTAATTAATTGAAAGTGTATATATATATATATATATATATATATTCCTCATGTAAGTTTTCTGTATCTAGGGTGTAATTTTCAACTTAATATGACTTGCACCTCTTAAGGTGGTGTGTGGACAAGAGGCATTATAATGATTAGGCCTTTCCCATTCAAGCTGCTCTTGAATGCTCCTTTAGTCACAGGGGTCACCTGAGTTTTACACCAGACGTCCTTCTTCATGCAATCCCAAATGGATTTGTCTCCTCCCAGGATAAAATCAGGGATCTTTCATTTGTTAGGTGAATGAGTAAACTAGCACACTATGGAGCTGCTAGACCTTTGTCATAAAAATGTTTTAATTGTTCAGTACATTAAAAAAGCTTACATTTTCCTTTAAAGCATTAAGCAGTTAACCCTTCTACTGGTAAGCATTTTTGTGTAGAAAAGTTATGCAGTAAATGTTGGGAAATTACACAATATGTCACACACTTTATTATGAGAATATTTTTCTAAACTTCCACCCATGCACCCTATTCTGCTTATCTGGTTCAGCCAGCTGCCATAGGGCAAGAGACAAACTCCACAGAGCCAGATGATGGAGTCGTCCTACCCATCACACACCACGCTGTCCTTAGTTTAAAACCTCCCCAAAGCAAATATAAATAAATAAATAAAAATACAAACCAATAATAACATTGTTTCTGCCATAAACAAATCTGATTGGATGTGTTCTCCTGACTGACACCTGCCTTCATCAGGAGTCTCCGGTTCTTCATGTCCTGCTTCCACGGCATCACGTAGAGTTTGGGGATCATTGGATGTCGGGCTGAAAATGTTGGGACGTGGCATGATGATCGTCTGGGAGTAAATAGTACAGGATATGAGGTGTGGTTTTTGGGCACTCTGGAGCAGGATTCATGCAGTTTGGTTCAGTTTATCTGCTAGTTTGTAAAGTTTAGAGACAACTAAAGGAGCTGCAGTTTTGGTGCTGCTGCGCTGCAAAGACTTTGCCACTTAGTGTTAGTAAATAAGCCCGAGGAAATAGAAGTGCAATGCAATCACGTAGGGTCATTTTGTTTTCTAAATTAGTCCCAGTAATCTCTATTGAATTAAAAAAAAACTTGATTTAAAGTCAATAATGAACTTAGTTTCCTTTGGTTCACAGACCAATAATACAGTCTGAAACACTGGGAGATGGTTGCTACTCTCCATATCAGAAGAACTAAAATAGATTCTTGAAATAAGATAATGCATCTAAAATACATTCAGAAAAAAAAGGGAACATTTTTTGATTTTACACATATTTTTGTACAGATTTTATTTTCGGTAACAAACCATTTAATGTACTAAATAAAACAGACGGTATTAACGTCTTGTATTATTTGCTGTTACACTGAAAAGCGGGACTCATTTGTTGAATCGGACTGTGCAGAATGCTGGTTGGAGAAAGGAAGTAAGTCTGTGCATTTAATAACACTTTACAGCTCTGTGTTCAGTGTGAAATAATCAGAAAATGTACTCACTCGTGCTGGTCAGCGCTCCCTGTGTCAGCCATGTTTGTTGACTGTCAGAGTCACCATAGAAACCCTCATTCCCCCCAGTGCATTATGGGTCTTGGGTAGAATTACAAGTAGACACTTTGGGGCTGTTTGTGTAACTACAGTCAGCGATGGAGAAGAGCAGCGAGTAATTTCTGTTTACATCACATAAACTGTAACTCAGGAAAAAAATAAAACACCACCAACTGAAGCTGCAAAATGGATCTTTGAGGAAATACATTAAGATTTAGCAACTGGACAACATACAGTAGGACTGATGGTAAAGAAGAAAAATATTAATGTGTTTCCCTCTTACAGCCCCACATCATGTGTTTCCAGTGTTGGGGAGTAACGGAATACATGTACCGCCGTTACGTATTTAAAATACAAAATATGAGTAACTGTATTCCGTTACAGTTACCGTT